GACTACAAATCAACCTAAATTTGATATCTAAACAAAAATTAAACAAACTCATCACTTTTATATTCATGCTAGCATAAACAAAAGGATAAATTGACAAACTTGGCTTCACAGAACACTTACTTTCTTACATGGAACGAACATCTAATTCACATTTCATTTTAAATCGAGATGTAAAAAATGTAATCTAAACAGGTAAATCTCGGATAAACGCAGATGTAGTTAGATGTTTCCGATGTGGATAAACAAAAGTTCGAGATGTAAAAAATGCCTCGGATGTAGATATTCAAACGCGGCATTAGTACACATTTGCAGAGTGCTAAATTATAAATGTACCTATCGTTAATTCTATCCTTGTAGAAGATGAAAATATTTTGTTGCAATCGATCTTGCGGTGAAATTCCCTATCAGCATATAAGCATTTCAACGACCTGTCAAAATGCTGCCAGTAGGAACTGACAGTTTAGATATGGCAACCCTGTGGACCTGTTGTCATTGACAGGGCCAATGATACATATATAGCTGTATAGATTGCTCAAAGCGGGTCGTTTGCGAGCGGCCATATTGTTTGATAAGTGCTTATTAATTTGAGTCAATGTCTGTCTCCAATTACAACCTAAGATCCCTAAATACAGTTCAAAACACTGCCTTGAGACTGTGCCTCAGAGCTTTCAGAACAAGTCCTGTAGAAAGCTTGTATTGTAAAACACGATCCCCCTCTTCTTCCTTATGCTGCTGGTATCTCTGCAAATCCTTCAAATCTTGTTTTCTCACTGTTAATTTCAAATAATAAAACATTCGTCAATATTACGTCTAGGGCTATTGTCCCAATTCCTCAGGCTCTAAAATCCTTACTCGGTGATATTGAACTCACTAGAATTCCATTTCCCATTTCTGAAAGTCCTCCTTGGTTAAAAAAGGCCAAATCAATAAAAGTAACACACCAAAAGAATTCATTACGAAATCATTTGCGGAAATAATTTATAACAACAGATCTAAAGATCAGTCAGGTGTAGGTTGTTCTGTCACCTCAAATGATGGGTTCCAGAAATCCTTCTTACTATCTTCTTCATGCAGTATTCATACTGGGGAAACTCCAGAGGATAACTACGTCGCTATATGTACAGACTCGCTCTCTTCAATCTACTCTATTAAAAATATTTATACTCCACATCCCTTGGTCCAAGAAGTACACGATTGTTACAAATTTCTTACTTCAATAGGAACTTCCGTCTTCCTTATTTGGGTTCCCTCTCATGTCGGAATTGCAGGCAATGAGGAAGCAGATCGTGTCGCGAAAGGAGCTATTCAGATGAATCTACCACCAAAAAATGTCCAATTAGTTAATGACCTAAAAACATTTTTTTGCGGAAGATTGCATTTACTTTAAGAGGGGGTTAATTCGTGCAAAAAAGGCACATTTTTGTGAGTTTTTTTTTGACGACACAGTTAAAATCTATTTTTTTAAACTAATTGTACATTAAAGTATAACATTCAAAGAATATTGTATCAAATTTTCATGTAGAAATATTAAAAATACGGAAATGGTAGCAATTATTCGGAAGCGTCTCGGAAAAAAGTAGAATTGCGATGCCCCTTCTAACTAGGTGCTGGATCACCAAAAATAAAAAAGTTCTCTCGTTAGACAATCGTTTTTCCCAGGTAACGCTGGTAGGGTTTTTGAAATTTTAATTTTTCACTTTTTAGGAACACTGAAGTAAAAAACGCGATTCTTGCGAAAAAATAGGCTAAATTATTATTATAAAATAAAAAAATATTGACAAATTTGAAAACAAATTTCCAGCGTTACCTCGTAAACTATGTACAGAAATAGTGTTCAAAATTTCAAAAGGATAGGTGTAGTAGTTTTGAATTTATGAGGGGCACCGACTTTGGAAACATAAGTTGTAAGAAAAACGCTTTAAAGTTTGGAACACTAAAAAATTTGGAATAAAACGTTTATAAGCGAGTTTTATCGGCTTATCTTACACTGAATCATCTATGCCAGGTCCATAAAGGATGTTGCTATCATTCATGATGTCTAAAGCATCTTTTTTTGCTTCAATCTACGACGAATCATCATTCATGAACGCATGTAGGTTAGTAAAGCAAAAAAATACCAGGCCAATGCTACACTAAATTATACAGGGTGTTATTGAAATACACGTACATATTAAAATGGGGAATAGTATGTAATGACCAAAAACGATTGGCACCAATTTTAACTTCAAATTCTAAAATTTAAATATTGGGGAAGAGTCCCCTTTTCCGACCTACTAGTTTCCATATTTAAAGAAGTAAAATAAATCGAAATTGAACTTACCCATAGAAATTGCACTGTTGCCGTAGCAAAACCAATTAATTCAAAATAAAGTTTATTACAGTAATTGTTCAAAATGCCGTCCATTATTATTTACACACACTTGCAATCGTCTTTCCAAAGAACTTTGAACATTAGAAATTAGTCTTGGATTTTGTCGTAGTTCCTCGGCTACCGCATTAACTTTATTGGTTAATTGTTCAACACTATTAATAGGTTCATTATAAACCAGTTGTTTCATGTGACCCCACAAAAAGAAATCGCATGGATTTAAGTCCGGAGATCTCGGAGGCCACTTAGTAGGTCCATTTCTGCCTATCCACTTTTGAGGAAATCTAATGTTCAAAAACTGCCGTACGTTTAAATCAAAGTGGGGAGGAGCGCCATCTAGTAGGTACCACATCCGTTGCCTTAATTGTAACGGTATCTCTTCTAGGAGTACTGGCAAAATATCTTCTAAAAAGTGGAGATATCCTGGCCCATTTAATCTGTTCGGGAGAACATAAGGCCCGATTAAATACTGATCTATTATGCCAGCCCAAACATTTATTGAAAATTTTCTTTGATGCCCAGTTTCCCTAATGGCGTGAGGATTTTCATCACTCCAAATATGCGTATTGTGCATATTGAACACGCCATCACGAGTGAATGAAGCCTCGTCAGTATACAATAATATTTTTAGAAAATCAGGAATATCAACACATTTTTGAATCATCCATTCACAAAACTCCACTCTCTTTTCTTCATCACCTGGATATAAGGCCTGGACTTTTTGGATGTGATAAGGATGTAAACCTTGTTCTTTAAGTGTCCGCCACACAACAAATGAGGACACTCCAATTTCAAGACCTAGTCTTCTACAACTTAATTGAGGCCGGTTTTCAACAGCTTCCAATATTTCTTCTTCGGCCGCCAATGTTCTTTGTGTTCTTGTTCTCCCTCGATCTGCATTGATACTCTCAAATTTTCCATGGTCTCTTAGATGCTGAACAGTTGAAATAAACGTACGACAGTCCGGAATTCTCCGATTTGGAAACCGTTCGCGATACAGGATTTGTGCTTGCCGAGAATTTTCTCCAGCTGCCCCATAAACCAGCACTATATCCGTTAGTTCAATATTCGTAAATAGTGGCATCGTAAAAAAATATTTAAAAGTAATCGTAACAACACTTTTTACCAACTTGGAAATGACGCGCTCGTGTTAGCCAGATTCGTAAATCAACTAAAATTTTAATAATCTATAGTTTCAAAAATGTATAGTTTAAAAACAATCATTTATCAAATATTCTAGTTTTTTGATAACGAGGGTAGTAAAAACCAGTCTTCGGAAATAGAAATTAATTCGAAAATCTTGGCAACATGGTTATTTCTTACAAGACTAGTTTTCTTATCATCTGACAAAAACTTGCATATTAATTACTGTTGATGTTTAAAATAGGTAAATAAACCTAATTTATATAGGTCATCCTCAACATATCAGTGAAGTACGTTTGTTTTAGAATTAATTTTCAAAAATTAATAACTCCCTTAATAAGGGGTATTTTTAAAAAATAATATTTTTCTACATTCAATGGGGATCTGCGCAATACCCAGTTTTAATATGTACGTGCATTTCAATAACACCCTGTATACAGTACAAATATAAACACGTTTGTACTTGTGTTAAAATGTCTATAAATAAAGGTAGGAGGTAAGGTTAGGGATCATATAGCGAGTGAAACAGCTGCCAGGCAAGGGCGGTTCTGAGACGAATTTTCGGTAGAGGCCATTGCCTTTAGCCATTCTCTTTTTAGCATATTTTTTTGAATAAAAGGCTCATAAAACGTAAGAATTTTCATCTAGGTGGGGGCCATGGCCTCCATCTTCGTTAATTTTGCTTTATTTTCCACTTGCGGGGCAATATGGCCACCCGCTTTGAGCAATCTATACAAATATATATGTATCATTGACCCTGTCAATAACAGCAGGCCACAGGGTTGCCATATCTAAACGTCAGTTTCACTTGTCAGCATTTTGAGAGGTCGTTTGAATGCCTAATAGTCTAAATATAAGAGGAGTGCAGTAAAAGTGGGGATATAACGTCATATTCCATAGGCGTACTTTGGAAAATTAGTTCCTATAATATAAATGAAGTTACGGCATATAAAATGGTAGGTAATCTTGTAGTTGAACGATCTGGAAATGCCCCTGTCGTACTATTCCTGTTTCGGCTAGTTCTGACAGTTGGAATTGTTACATATAGTTGCCAGGTAATATTTAATTATTCGGAACCAGGGAATAAGCATATTTAAATAACTGTTTTACTTTTAATCATCCATTTACTGATTTTTACATCGATTAAAAATTCCATAAAAATAAAAGAATTTTCAAGTAATCGTTATTTTTAATGTCAATAATACCTTTTCTTGGCAAGGAGGCAATCTGAAAATTTCAATTCCTTTTTCTCAGGCCATCTTGTCTATAATATATATTTGAACTTATTTTTATATTGCCTTGCTATTACAAGTAATTCTGCCTCGTATCATCAGTACTTAATTTATTTTTATAACAAGATAAATATTTTGGCATTTATTTAAATTAATGTTAGCTTACCTTCCTATTTTCCAGGTTCGACCCATCACAATGGCATCTTAAATAAAAGTGGAATTAATGAAACTAAACTCAAATTCAGTTCAATTGTTTTTATTAAGCAACTTTACATTAAAGCCTCTCATAGTCTGTACAGAAGGTAATTTTCTACAAATAATTTTCGCATCGTTTTAACTCCCCTAATAAAAAATTAAAAAAAAAACTTGTACACGATTTAATTATAATCATAGAGAAAAACAAATCGATAAAATTAGAATAAACCTTAATATTTATTGTCTACCATAAAATAAAATTAAAAAAAAAAGTGTAGAAGAGAAAAAAACACGAAACAGCGCTGGGTAGTAAAAAAATGTACAAATAAAATTTACAAATATTTGCGGGTTTTGTCTATATAAAAAAAATGAAAATATTTATTTGCTCGTTATTAATTGTTAAAAAATATATACATAAAATAAAACGAGATTTAATCAAAAATATGTAACTTAATTTTTTTATATATTATATACAGATTGTCTCTAGATAATAACTTTTTCCAGAAAAAAATTATTATGTGCCATTCATTTCTTTATCCTTATAATTAATTATAGAAATATTTTCGAGACAATCTTTATATTAGATTAAATATTATTAAATCATCATAAACGGCAAATATAATTTCGATGATTTTTTAACTAAAACTATTTAATACATCAAAAGGGTGATTTTTCTCTGCCAAATTTCATGCACAGTTCAAAGAATAATCGAAGAATGTTAATTTACTGAAGTGTCACATCTACCAAGTGGATTTTCTGTTTATTTCGTTACAAAATGCCAATATTAAAATAACTTAATAATTTTATTGATGAAGATGGTGACATAATTCTATTTCTGCGATTAGCCTAACAAATTGTTTAAATATAATAATTAACATAATTAATGCTGAATTGTAGTTAATGTTAATATTGTTTTTGATTTTACAAATAATAAAAATGTTGTTCTATAAAAAATGTTAGCCCTAATTTTCATAAATACTTAACAGATGTGGACAAAGTATAGTATTCTACTGGCATATAATGCCTATCTTATGCTAGTTGAATAAATATATTATCATGATATTTTAGGTGAATTTTATTTACAAATTTTAACAGTTTTGCAATCAATATCAATAAAAAGAATCTAAATATTGTCTGTACGAATTTCACTACTTCAGACAAATTGAAATTTTCTTTCGAATCATGTATAAAAAATTTATATTATCCTTCGGGAAAGTGGGTTTCCATACATTTTCCGGCAGTATTAACTTTTTTTGACAGTGGATTTATTAGTTTCTAAATATTTCCTTTCTTTAGGTGAACATTTAAAAAAAAGTTGTTTGTTTACCGAATTGTTCGACTTTTCCGACGAATTTCCCAAAAAAAAATCGATTTTACTACTCTACGTTCTTTATAAACTGGCGATACTTCCAAATACATTTGCAGGAAAATATGGATCGATTTTCCGGGAAAAACTTTGCTTAAACGAGCAAAAAGACGTTAAGAATAATTATCCGGCTCGACGAGGCCCATTGATTGATGTATCACATGACAGGGGTTATTTGACAGAGGGAGGGAAGAAATAAAAAACCAGAAAATGTTCTTTTTTCGGAAATTCATAAAAAAATTAAGGTAAATGCATTTTCCGCAAATCAATAGGAAATTTTAATATTCCAAACAAAATTTCTTAAAGAAAAAGTCAACATTTCCTTATAGTAAGGAAATTAATATTTCACCGAGTTACCTGATCGAATAAGAAAGCTGGCGCGAGATCTACCAAAACCGTGGTATAGACAAAGAAGGTAAAAAAGAGACAAGGAAGTATTCCACTATTTAACTCTCATTTGATCCGAGTTCACCCTATGTTTAAACAAGACCGTAGAAAACTAATGAGGGTTTTTACCAGTGACAGATCATAAACTACCTCCGTCTCGTTTAAGACCCAACTCAACTGTTTTCACTATATAATCACGATTTTTTTAGGTTATAAAACTTCCCATTATTCGAAGTAATACAAGACATCGTTTGTCGTTTTAAATTTCTATCTCATAGAAGTAGAAGGAGATAAAATTATCGGAGAATACCAATGCAGCTTTAGAAAAGGAAGGTCAACAACTGACCAAATCTTTATTTTAAAACAGGTACCCACATGTTGATACGAATACGAAATACCGACCCATATTATGTATATTGATTTTAAAAGCGCATATGATACAGTAAATCGACGAAAATTGGTAAATGCTTTGAAATAACTAAAAATACCTTTTAAACTAGTAAAACTGACGAACATGACCATGGAAAATACAAGGTGTGCAATAAGAGTAGGAGGTAAAGAAACCGATGAATTTGAAGTCTAACACGGGCTTAGGCATCATCCACCCTTCTTTATAACTTAACCCTTGAAATAGTCATCAGAAACAGTGGAATAAACAGATATGGAACCCTGATCAACAGATCCCACCAAGCATTAGCATACGCAAATGATGTACTGTTAGTGAAAAGCCAAAAAGAACAATTATTAGACGCGGCGGGAACAATGAGGCTAAGAATAAATGAAAAGAAGAGTCAGTACATGCAACTCAAAAACAAACATTTAAGAAAATATCCTGGAAAGCTAGAATTACAAACTAAAACCATAGGAAAAATAACAATAGATGAAACAGACAGTTACATGTACCTCGGTGTTCTCATTACAAATAAATGCGAAAGAACAAGCTGAAATAGATCTCCGTCTAGCAAAGAGCAATAGATGCGCAGGAGTTTTACATAACTTATTAAAAATCTAAAGAATTGTCATGGGAAATAAAGAAATGTGTGTACAAAACAATAATTAGACCTACAATGCTATACGGCAGTGAGAGAGAACAGACCAATATTGAAATATGGGAACGAATGATACTAAGAAAAGTAAAAAAAGACGAACAAAGAAATCTACAAAATATTTAACGAACCCAACATATACGAATTAGTACAGTCAAAAAGGTTACAATGGTTGGGGCATTTAGAAAGGATGGAGGACTCAAGAATAATAAAAAGAGTAGTTTGGATAACACCAAAGAAAAAAAAGAGGAAGGCCTAGAAGGAAATGGAGGGAATAGATCATAGAAGATATTAAAGAAAAAAAGATCATCAACTGGAAAGAAAAAGCCAAGAATAGGGACGAATGGAAGAAACTAACCAGGCCATAGACCTTAACGGCCTGTTTCAATCTCATAATGTCAACAAATACATAATACTTTTCCTACTTGGTAAACTATATACTATTGTAAAATCTCCCTACCGAAAGGTGTAGAAAAAATTGCAATGTAACTATTGTAAAGTGGTTTTCCAACAATGTTCATTGGTTTTCCAACAATTTTCCGGCTAAACCAACTTTTTTTTTTGAACCGCGGATTTATCAGTTTCTGGAAATTTTCTTTGATTTGGCGAAAATTAAAAAAATATTTTTTTGTTTACCGGACTTAATTAACTAGCAACTGGTTTCTAAATTTTTCCGTTTCTTTAAATACATTTCCCAGGAAAATTGGGGGAAATTTTGAATTGATATTTTGGGTCGAACCCTCTTCCGATAAAAACTCTTGTTTAAAAGAGGAGATAGAGCAAAAAGACCTTGACACGATTTCTTTGACAGAGGAAGGGGGAAGATTGGTTTTATCATAAATTATTAAAAAAATTTATATAGTCGCATTTCTAAAATTTCTTTAGTTAATGTTGTTGGAAAATTGGTAAACTTTGATGGATGTAACATGTTGTCTATCTGTTACGAAATTTGGTGAGTACATCTTATCGAATTTCACTACTTCAGAAACATTAAACATTTCTCTGACGAATCATGTCGGAAAACTTAAAATTTCCTTTTGGAAAAGCAATTTCCATAAATTTTTCGACAGTACCAACTTTTTTCGACAGCCGATTAATTCGCTTCTGGATCTTTCCTTTTATATGGTAAAAATCGTAAAACAATACATTTTTCTTTATAGAATTTTCCAAAAAAATATCCATTTTACTACTCGGCGTTCTTCATTATCTGGCATCAAATTTTTCCAGATACTCCAAACATATTTCCCAAGAAAATTTGGATCAAATAATTTTCCGGGAAAAACTTTGCTTTAAAGAGGAGATAGTGAATTATCCGGCCAGCCGAGGCACGTTGAATGAAATGTCTGGATTTTTACGATAGGGGGAAGAAAGAAATAAAAAACATTTTTTTTTTTTGACAATTTATAAAAACATGTCGAATGATGTATGAAAATTTGAAATTTAACATTAATTTTCTCTCTGTCGAATTGTTAGAAACATTTTTCTTCAGGAAATTGGTTTCCAAACAATTTTTCCGGCTAAACCAACTTTTTTTAATTTCTGAATATTTTCTTTACTTTGGTGAAAATCAAAAAAAATATTTTTTTTACCATATGTTCCTACTTTTCCGACGAATTTTCCTCACAATCTGGTTTTTCCAGGAAAAACTTTAATTAAAAGATGAGATAATGCAACAAGACCTTGAAGAAATTATCCAGCTCGACAAGAGGGAGAAGGGGAATAAAAAGGACTTTTTTTAGAAATGTATGATTAATTGAAATGGTGTTGGAAAATTTTTAAATTATTCCATGACTCACTAGTAAAAACAACCTGAATATTTTTAATGTATGTCTTATTTCGAAATATTGAAATTTTCTCTGTTCAATCATGTTGAAAAATTTTAAACTTTCATTCGTGAAAGCGATTTTCCACAAATTGTCCGATCGGCCAAGTATTTTTCAAAAGCCTATTGATCTGTTTCAGAAATTACTTTTGTTTGCTAAAAACAGAAAAAAAAAATTATTTGTCTGAATTTTTCAGAAAAATAAAAATTTGCGTATATTACTCGAATCATGACGAAAAGTTTTAAATTTTTATTTGAAAAAACGGATGTTTTTCATTAATTTTACCATCGTTCAAAGATGTGAAAAATGTTTAGAACAGGATGGAAAACAATTTGAATAACTTTCAATTTCTCACATATTTACCTTTTAAAAAACCTACTTGATAAAAAATATTTATTTTTGACCGTGGAATATGGTGACATAATGAAAAAAATATGTATCATATTTAAACAATTAATTTATCGATGTATCATTAGATCAAAATTTAAATATGTTTTTTTCACATCTAGGTGTCGATTCTCGACTTGTAAGAACCTTTTCCTATAGGAATTTGTGACACTTTCCTGTATGTAGGAAAATGTAATAAATTTTCGATGTATAGAAAAATGTCAAAAATTCCTATAGGAAAAAATTCCTACGAGTCGAGAATCGACCCCCTGATATCTATAATAATATATATTTAATGTTGAATACGACCTTCTTCATCATAGTCCAATTAAAACAATATTCAAATTGTCTTTTACTTTAGCTAAAAATAAATACTATTTTAATACCCACAATGGTCATTTTTTCTTTGGAATTAATTTCATTAAGTACCAATTTCAGCTATACATTAAAATTTCATGTACTATCAGAATCAAAACTAAAATAGAGCTGTCCCATTTAAAATAAGAAAGTTGACATCTATTTTATGTTTAAGATATTTTAGATGAAAAGATCAACCTGTTTACTATTGTTAACAATTTTTAACACCTATATAGGACAACCTATATAAAGCACGTCCCTGGAAAAATCAACTGTAGATAAAAAAAATCAATTTAAAAATAAATTCCAAATAATAGAAATTAATTTAAAATATTTGGTAGAGAAAAACTAATTTTGATATATCAAATAATTTTCAAATTCGCTCATTCAAGACACATCTAAATATATTCACTATTACAACAAGTTTCAAATAAAATTATGAAGCATAAATAAATTTGAAAAACTAGTTCAATTTTTATTTTAAAAGAAATTTATTTGAATAATAAAAATGAGAAAATAAATAAAAAAAAACTTACCAAATCACATTCTTCAAAATATTTACGATTCGCATTCTTACCTTGAGGACATACTGTTATTATATTTTGGAATATCTCAATATCTTTTTTTATATAGACAAAACCTACATAAGAATCGATATAATAACTATATAATAAAAAAAAATGTCATGGCATTTTACAGAAGATTACAAGATGTACAGACTGCGTTCATTTTAAAGAGAGAAAAAAATTGTTTTTTTTTGTTTGTAATATAATTATACAAACATTCCATTAAAACTGGAATGAAGCTTGTTTTATTTTTTTAATAAAAAAATTAAAAGTTGCGACCGGATGCTGCGAGGATTTTTTACAAACATTTATATTTAATTATTTCAAATTTCGAAAACTGTTCAAACTCTACTTATTTTCTATTTTTATTTCGTTTGCAAAATTTAGGAGTTATCTCGAAAATTTATAAATCTATATTTCAAAAACTGTGTTCGTTTGAACTGTTATTTTGTAAATAAAGAATAATAATAGAAAAAAAGTTCAAAATGCCTAAGATATAACAAAAATTGTTAAAAGAATTTTCAAAAACTGTTGTACAACGTACAACTCAAATTCGTAAATATTTTTATTATTTACAAGTTAAAACACCTTCAAAAATTGTTGCAATTTTAAAAAGATGTATAAAAGAATTTAAAATATATAAAAAAACTGTTAAAAACAATATGTTCTAAACTAGTTCATTAATTCAGAATATGTTCGACACAGATAGAAAACTGTCTAAAAAACCTGTCGAATTAATACATTCGTTTAAAATGCCTAAAATATACCAAAAATTGTTGAAATAATTTTCAAAAACTGTTTAAAGTATTTGTCAGAATGTAAAACTCAGTTTTACAGATTTACCAATGTTTTTTGATTTTTTTCAAAACTGTTGCATTCCAAGAAATATATTTAAAAGGGATTTAAAATAAACAGAAAACTGTTGAGAACAATATGTCTTAATGTGTTGAATTTATTCAAAATCTGTTCGAAATAAGTAAAAAACTGTCTAAAAAATCCTGTTAAATAAATATATTCGTTCAGAATGCCTAAAATATAACAAAAATTGTTAAAAGATTTATTGAAAACTGTTCAGTTTTTTGTAAGAATGTAAAAATTAAGTTTTATGAATTTCCAAATGTGTTCTAATTATTTTCAAACTAATATCTTTTAAAACTGTTGTATGTCTAGAATGGTATTTAAAAAGGATTTAAAATATACAGAAAACAATAAATGGACTAAACTGTTGAAATCATTCAAAATCTGTTCGAAATAAATGGAAAACTGTCTAAAAAAATGTTGAATAAACATTCGTTTAGGATGTTTAAAATATAACAAAAATTGTTAAAAGGATTTTCAAAAACTGTTCAAAGTATCAGTCGAAATGTAAAGCTAGATTTCGCAGATTTAACGTGTTCTGACTATTTTCAAGCTAATAAAACTATTAAAAACTGATGATTAAAAAGAATGTAAAATACATAGAAAACTGTTGAACACAGGTAGAAAAGTGTCTAAAAAATCTGTTGAATAAATTAAGTATATAATTTATTTTTGAAAAAAAAAAGACAAGAAATACTTAGAATATCTCAAAAACTGTTGACATTTTTGAAACTGTTGATATTTTTGAAACTGTCAAATAATTTTAAAAAAACTGCCATTTAAACTATACGACTGACTAGGATGAGTAGTGTTGCAATAAAAGATGAAAAAAAAAATATAAAATATCTCAGAAACTGTTAGTAATATCTCAAAAAATTTATGACATTAAAATTGTCCACAAAATTGTTGTAATTGTTAATAAATCAAATTTAAAATATATAAAATATATTCAAACAATGTTTAATACTAAAAGAAGCCACAATAGATATATCTCAAAAACTGTACATGAACTATTCGAAACTATTTGGTTAAAATTAAAATGATGTCAAACATATACATGGAAAAATATTTGCAACTAGTACAACTAGAATATCTCAAAAATAAAAAACAGGATATATCAAAATTTTATATCCATATCAAAACTTACCACAGTCTTAAGAACTGTTTGTGACATTAATAACCTGTTTCTGATATCTCCAAGAACTGCTTGTGATATTTCAGCAAAATCACAAAAACTGTTGCGAAATGTTTTAAAAAATGTCCAGATTATCTCAAAAAATTGTTTGCGACATCAAAAAACTGTTTCTGATATCTCCAAGAACACCTGTTTAAAATATATATACAATTTAAGTTAAAATCTCAAAAACTGTTGCGATATGTAAAAAAAATGCTTAATTATCTCAAAAAACTGTTTGTAACATCAAAAAAACTGTTCCTGTTATCTCCAGGAAGAACTACTTACGATTTCTCAAAAATGTACGGCAAAATCTAAAAAACTGTTGTGATATGTAACAAAACTGTTTCTCAATAAAAAACTGTGATATCTCAAAAATTCTTTCATTCTTATTTGATATCGAATTGTGAACAATGAATGTAAAAAATAGTCGTAGCATCCAGTACAATAAGTCTAGTCTCGTAATGTTCCATAATAAAAGAAGACATTAAAAAATACACAGTACCTAATAGGTCAAGTATCAGTCTACTACAAAGTACTCCTCTAACATGACTCTTTTTCAAAAAAGACATTACGCCTTTATTACACTATTTACACATTCAATAATAATAATTAATTTTAATCAATCAATTAATTATTACATTCCTGGCAAACAAATCGTCGAATTCGGCTAAAGAAAAACCATTTTTACTCCACTAAATCGACTAACAAAAAGGTCCTTAAAAAATAAATTAAAAATCATATACAGGGTGGTGTCAATTTTTTTAGTACTAAACTACTTTCATATAATGTGAAAATGTTTTGGTTATTTTTATTATTTAGCCCAAACAAATTCGTCGATTTATTTGCGAGAAAGGAATTTTAAAATTTTCAATTTTTGCACCAACTTTTCCAATCCAATTTTATATATATTTTTTCTTTCAAATAAAGTCAATCGGGGATATTTATAATTTTGTTTTCTTTTTCTTTCGATAAAAAAAAAAACCAACCGAGAAGAACAAACAGCGGTACACGTACTCGTATTATTATAACTCGTAAAAGAGATAAATTTTTTTTGTATTATGGAATGCTTATAGTCACTACAACACTGCTGCTTTTTTATCAGTCTGATATTGCGGGGGGCGCGTCGCGGACACTCATTTCGTCGGGTAGGGATTGATGACGGTCACTGCAGCGGCCTGTTGGCTAGCCAGTACGGCAGCTGAAAACCAATGAAAAACAAAATTAGTTTGACACCTCTAAAAACGTAACTAATACTAAAAACTAATAACAGTAGTACAAGTGTACAAAATTGTATTGGTAATTCAAATGTACAAAATTGTATTGGTAATTCAAATGTACAAATTAATATAAATACTAGTTCAAATGTATAAAACGATATAATTAGTAGTTTAAATGTGCAAAATAGTAGAATTAATAGTTTACATGTATAAAATGATATAATTAGTAGTTCAAATATACAAAATAGTATCATTATTAGTTCAAAATAGTAAAATTAGTGGTTCAAATGTATAAAATAATATAATTAGTAGTTTACAGGTACAAAATTGTATTGGTAGTTCAAATGTACAAATTGGATATAATTAGTAGTTCAAATTCACAAAATAGTATAAATACTAGTTCAAATGTATATAATTAGAAGTTTAAATGTGCAAAATAGTAGAATTTACATTTACACTGAACAAAATGGAATAATTAGTAGTTCAAATGTATAAAATTGTATAACTAGTAGTTAAAATGTATAAATTGAGTTAATTAATAGTTCAGATGTATAAAATTGTGTAACTAGTAGTTAAAATGTATAAAATGAGTTAATTAGTAGTTCAAATGTACAAAATAGTATCATTAACAGTTCAAAATAGTAAAATTAGTAGTTCAAATGTATTAAATAGTATAATCAGTAGTTCAAATTTACAAAATGATATAACTCATAGTTAAAATGTACAAAATGGTATAACTAATAGTTCAAATATATAAGATGGCATAATTAGTAGATCAAATAGTAATAAGTTTATATATTAAAAAAAAAAACATGTTACATTACTAAAATAACTAAGGTAAGTTAATAAACAGCCCAATCACACAAAGTTACAACTTGTGTGTGATAATGAAACATGAAATATCGGAGGATAATGAAATTAATAGGAAAATTTAGACATTATTTTCAAAATTTGATATTTAATTAGCAAAGCTGGGCGGATTAAACTTGAGCAAATTAATTGGAAAAGAATATCAAGTTTGTGAAAGGGAATTTAATGAAAAAAAGTCGGAGGGTAAAATTATTTAGAATGACAAATAAAAGTAAAATTGATGTAGAGTAATTGTTAGAAGAGTTTATGTTGGAAATATGAAATAAAGGACAAAAATTAAAAAAAAAAATAAAGAAACTTTATTTTAAAATCTAGAATGGGGAAGCAGAAGCTAAGAAGCAGAACGGGAAAGCAGATGCGGATAAGCAGACCAGATAAGCAGTGAGAAATCACAACCATATAGAGAAGAGCAGCCAGAGTACCATAGAAGAAGAGGTATTTTTTTGTTTTCACTAAATTTTAATTTCGTTTTTTCACTATTTAAATTATTTTTGTTGTAAATCAATACATTTTATGTACTGTATATCATATAATTCATTTGAAAAATTTTTGGTACATTTTAACTACTGATTGCATCATTTAGTACCTTGTTCAAATTTACCAAACGGTAAAGTGGTAATTCAAATGTACTATATGGTATTACAGTAATTAATAGATACCACACGAAGCATTTATTAGCATAAATGTACCAAAAAGTAGTTAAAATTCACATTCTGTAGTATAATGTATCAATGTTAGTTTAGTACCTAGTTTAAATGTACAAAACTAGTATATTTAGCAGTTCAAATGTTATATATTTCTATGATTAGTATTTCAGTATAATAGTTCAAATGTACCCTATGGTATTATAGATTAGTTAATAGATATCAAATGATGCAATTAGTAGTTTAAATGTACCCCAAGGTTTATAAAATAGTAAGTAGTAACGTTTAATTTGAACACAGGAGGTATTGATTTGAGACCGTCGATATATCAAATAGTATTATTAGTAGTTCAAATGTAATATATGGCATATTCAATTATTATAAAATCTTTTTAGTAGTTAAAATGTACCAAAGTTAGTTTAGTAGTTCAAATGCACTATATAGTGTATACAATAGTTGTGATACTAAATAAGACATTTGTTAGTTCAAATGAAATGCACTTAATAGTTTTAAAATACCAAAGTTGATTTAGTAGTTCAAATATCTTGTTTAAATGCATCAAAGTTGTTCAAATATCCAAATAAATAGTACAATTAGTAGATCAAATTAGTTTAGTAGTTCAAATATACAAAGTGATCAAATTAGTAGTTTAAATGTACTATATTGTGTATACAGTATATGTACTAAAAGAGGCATTTAGTAGTTAAAATGTATTATATGATATCATACAGAAGTTATAGGTACTAAATGTTGAAATCTGTAGTTCAAATATGCCAAATGCAAGCAGTAATTTAAATGTATCAAATTTAATTTAGTACTCCAAATGTCAAATGTGAAAAATTGTTTGAATGCACCAAAGTTGTTCAAATGTACCAAGTAAATAGTACAATTAGTAGATTAAATTAGTTCAGTAGTTTAAATGTACATATAGTGTATACAGAACTTAATAGGTATTAAACGAGGCATGTAGTTTTAAATATATCATATTATATAGACGTTATAGGTACTTAACAAAGCAAATTTGTAGTTCAAGTATGCTAAACTTAGTTCAGATGTACCAAAGCTAGATCAAATATACCAAATGGTATTAGTAGTGCAAATGTAAGTACTTGTAATGATTAAGGAATTTATTCAGAAGCTTAAAGGTACCAAAGTTAATCTAGTAGTTCAAATGTACTTAAAGTTGTTTGAATGCACCAAAGTTGTTCATAAGTACTAAATAAATGGTACAATTAATTAGTAGATCAAATGTAATATGTGGTTAGGTATATCAAATGTAATATGGTTAAAAAAATTAATTCAGTAGTACTTACACCAAAGTTAGTGTAGTAGTTCAAATGTACTATACGGTGTATTTAAAGCGCTAAACGGTACATTTAGTAATTTAAATATACCATATGGCATTATATAGTAGTTAAAAGGAACTAAATGTTACATTCAGTAATTTAAATTTGCTCAAAGTAGTTAAAATGTACTAAATGGTATAAATAGCAGTTCAATGTAATATGTGGTATATTCATTAATTAAAAAGAACCAAAGTTAGTTTAGTAGTTCAAACGTACTATGTGGTGTATGCAGAGTTAATAAGCACTAAATGAGGCATTTAGTAATTTTAAATATACTATATGGTATTAAATTGAAGTTAAAGGTACTAAATGTTACACTCATTAGTTCAAATTTGCTAAAAGTATTTCGAATGTACTATAAATTAAAAATGCATTCAGTACCTGAAATGTATCAAAGTTAGTTTAGTAGTTCAATTGTAAAAATAGTAGTTCAAATGATATATACAATAATTGAAAACTACCCAACATTGGATTCAACAGTTCCAATTAGTAGTTCAAATCTTCCTGATGGTATTTATTAGTTAATAGGTACCAAACGATGCAATTAGTTTAAATGCATCATAATGGTATCATACAGTAGTTAAAATTTACTAAGATGCTAATTCATTTCAAATATACACCAAAAAGTAGTTCAAATATACCAAATTGTATTATTAGTAGTTTAATTTACGATATATGGTATATCCAATGATTAAAAAATGCATGTTAGTTCAATAGTTCAAATGTACCATAATATAGTAGTTGAAAGGCACTAAATATTGCATTCAGTTGTTCAAATATTCTAAATTTGGTTCAAATTTTCCAAAAATAGTTCTAATGAATCAAAAGGTAGTTCAAATATATTAAATTGCAATATTAGTAGTTCAAATGTAATATTAATGCAATGCAATAATTAAAAAAAATAGCATTCAATAAATAATTAAAATATACTTGAGTGAGTTTAACCATTCACACATAAACGATGCATATAGGCGTTAATGTGTGAAGAATACTATAATATATCATTGCGCCAAAGTTTGGGGACATTTTTGGATGTTTCTGGACACAGGATTTTTTTCAGTAGTGGGTACATATTGCAATTGTTTATAAGGCAACGCTGTCAGGATTCTTCACACATTCTTGGCATGAAATAAGTATTATTTCGGTACTTAACTATAGTAGTTAATAGGTATTTATTAGTTCTAATGTACCATATGATATTAAGCAGTAGTTAAAAACTATAAAATTTTTCATTCAATAATTAAAATATTCCAAAGGTAGTTCAAATGTATCAAATATATTTTTCGAATGCACAAGAAGGTACTTCAAACAGATGTACCAAATAATAGCATTAGTACTTCAAATGTATGCAATAGTATTAGTAGTTGTATATCCCAGGGTTAAACAGTGCTATCAGTAGTTTAAATGCACCAAAGTTAGCTTAGTAATTCCAATGTACAAAACGGTATAAGTACTTGTATTAGTTCAAATAGTTAATAGATACAGATACTAAATAAGATATTTATTAATTTAAATGTACCATAATATGGTACAATACAGCAGTTAAATGGTACTAAACGTTGCATCAAGTAATTCAACTTGTTAAATATAGTTAAACTGTAGGGTTCGATTACAATTAGAACGCCACTATGTCAAAACCATTACTTCGAATTTCGAATACATATTATCTATAACTATCAATTAATAAGTTGTTAGGTATAAAACAATATTTCCTATATTTCTATAATATTAACACTCCACTACACCCCCAGTAGGCGGCGATAACCAATTAATTACTTTGCCAAATGATGACGTAGCTTTGTTCTTCTAATTGTAATCGGAACCCCAAAGGTTGTTCAAATGAACCAAAAGCTCTTACAATTAGTTTAGTAGTGCAAATAACTATGTGGTGTATAGTTTCTAATTGGTACCAAACAAGAAAATTAGTAGTTCAAATGAACCGTATATTATAATTAGTAGTTAACAAAATGTTATCAGTAGTTTAAATGTATCAAAGTCAGTTTAGTAGTTGAAATGTAGAAAAAAAAATCAAAAAAGGATTGAGACTAGAAATTTAACTAACCTCCGTAGGGTGCGGGATACATGGGATATCCGAGTCCCACGTGGGTGTGGTGGTGCGTGTGCACGTGCCTCTGCGGCGGCGGCGACCTCGACTCCTTCCCCTCGCCCTGCTGCTGAGGCTGCTTGCAGCTTGCCGGCGCCGCGCCGCCGCCCGGCTGCTGCGAAGCCGGCGGCGCGTTCATTTGCACCTGACCGGCGGCCGGAGGCCCCTGAGGTGGCGGCCCGCCTCCACCTCCCGCCCCCTGCTGGCCGCCTACGACGTTGCTGTTGTTGTTGTTCGTCATCGACGGACTCGAACCGGCCATCGACGTCTTCGGCGTCGGCGATTTGATGGCGCGCTCCTGCAGCTCGTGTATCTTGTGCGACGAGTAGTACTGGGCGTGGTGCTGCAACATGTCGAGCGCTTTGGTGGGCGGCGGCGGCCGGGACAGGTCCTCGGGGGCGTGGTACCTGCAAAAGTCACCAAACATTTGTGTTAAACTCTCCCGCTCAGCGAGCGCGCTATCTCTGGGCTTCCAAGTAGTCTGGAAACCTCAGCAATCTGAAAAACAATAAAGTCGATATTGGACAAACTGATCGTGTATTGCTAAGCAAGTATAAAGGAACGCGTCGCCTTCTAATATCCTGAAAATAGAATCCCTTTCTCTCTCACGTAAATCCATTTTTTATTTTTTTTATTCTTACCTCTGCATGGGAGGATGAAGGTAAGGACTACCGCTGTACGGGCCGGGAACCATGATTCCTCTGTACATAGGGTGGTTTGGATCAAAAGGTAAAGCTCCGTAATGAGCTTGTTGCATATAACTCGGATGTATATATGCGTACTGCGACGTAGGAGGCGGAGGAGGACCTTGTGTTTCCATCGTCGGTTTCACACCTTCCTGTTTCACCTCCTTTTCTTTCTTCTCCTCCAGTTTTATTTCTTTAGATTTGATGTTGGGACTCTGTGACATTTGTACCTGTAAAAAAGCCCATTTCATCAATTAAATGACTGAAATTAAATCAAAAAGTAAGTTTTAAAGAAAGTGGGACAATGGGTATACATTTTTATAACAGCTATTTATGAAACTAGTTGCTAAATGCCTTATTTCATGTAACGAGTGAATATTTTCGAAACGAGCAGAGCGAGGTCCCCCAACATGAACGAGTCATGTGGCTTATCATGTGACTATCAAACCATTTTACCTTAGGACAATTTATAATTTTCCAATACCATCTGAAAAAAAACTTTTATTTTCTATTATTCATAAATTCCTAAAGAATGTGAAAAGTTTCGCGATTTTTTCCCCTTCCCACTGTCATCTGATACATCAATCGACGAGTTTTGTCTAGCAGGATAATTATTTTTAAGGTCTTTTTCCACTATTTCCTCTTTTAAACAAAGTTTTCCTGGAGGAGCTTTCGAAACAAAAGTTCCCCTAACGTTCCTGTGAAATGTGTTTGAAGTATTATGAAGAACGTCGAGTAGTAATACTGGAATTTTTGTTTTATGGAATATTCGTCTAAAAAGTCAGAAAATTTGGTAAAAAATGTTTTTTTCGATTTTACCAAAACTGAAGGAAATATCCAGAAACGGATAAATCCGCCATTAAAAAAAGTTAGTACTACCAGAAAATGTATGGAAAATCAATTTCTCGAAGGAAAATTTTGGGCCTGAATGTACCCTTCGAATTTCGTAACAGGCTACTACAACCACCAAAATTTTGGTGAAAAACCACTTTACTTTCAAATTTTCAACACCATTCAACAGATAAACTTTTCAGAAATTTGTGAAAAAATTATTCATCAATTTCCCCCCTCCCCTATCGTCAAAACCCTATCATGTGATATATTAATCGACACGTCTCGTAATTCTTCTTAAGATCTTTTTGCTCTATCTACTTTTTTAAGCAAAGTTTTTCCAGAAAAGCGTTCGACCCAAAATTTCTCCTAATTTTCCTGGGAAATGTTTGAGGTATCTGAAAAATTTCGATGCCAGATTGTGAGGAACGTCGAGTAATACACGCAAATTTTTAGTTTTTTCGGAAATTTCGTCGGAAAAGTAGGAACATTCGTCGGAAAGACGAAAAATTCAAGAAAAATGTTTATTTTCGCCAAACAAAAAAGTTGGTTTAGCTGGAAAATTGGTGAAAACCTACTTTTCTGAAGAAAAGTTCAATATTTTCTTACGTATCCAAACGAACTTATCAAGTTTCGCAATAAATATACAGATGACATACAACACGTAGTATTTGGATTCTTTTTATTAAAAGACATTGTAAGGATTCTTTATGACTCATCACATCAAAGATAGGTATTACACGACCGGAATGAAGAGGGCATCTTTAACAACAAAAAAAAAACTTACCTTTGTTGGAGTTTGATTAGACTTGTGTTCTGGTATCGGTTGAGGTTCTTTACGCCTCTGATCCGAGTACACATAGAACCTCCTAACATCCTCTTCCCTCTGTCCATGGTGTTGAGGTTGTGGTTGCTGCTGCTGCTGTTGTTGTTGCTGCTGCTGTTGAGGCTGATGCGACGGTTGCTGCTGCTGTTGCTGACTCATTTGCTGTTGTTGGCTCATCTGCTGCTGCTGCTGTTGTTGCTGCTGTTGTTGTTGCTGCTGCTGTTGTTGTTGCTGCTGCTGCTGTTGTTGTTGTTGTTGAGACTGTCGCGAATAGAGGTACGGGTTCATTTGGTTTTTAATTTCTATGCTCTCCTTGAGGATTTGGTGGTTCTCGTTCTGGTGTTTATCTTTCAGACTGGGGTCTTTTACTTTACCCGGGGTGGGCACTTGAATCGGATTGGGAATGGGGGTAGGTTGTTTGACGGTTTGCTCAATGGGGCTGGGACTTTCTTTCAATCGCTCATCTTTGATTTTATCGTCTTGCACCATTTGCACCCCTCCGTAATTCGAATCCATGTTGTAAGCGTAACCGGGTACGTATCCGTACGGGTAATAATGTGGCGGTAGCACCTTTGGGGGATATTCCCCGTCTTTTTTGCTGTCTTTGGTTGGTTCCTTCTCGCTGGGCTTCTCGGGTTCTTTTGGCTTGTTCTCCTGCGTCGATGGTACCAGATACTGGTGGTGTTGTCCGTAGAAGGGATGATACATGCCGTATTGGGGCATGTGAGGTAGTGGTTGACCCGTTTCCGTCTTTTTGTCTTGCGGTTTGATCTTGTCGGCCATGTCGGGTTCCATTACGGGAGCACCGTCGTCAGAAATATCCGAATACGCCGGACTTTGTACTTCATCTCTACTGGACTGTTCGGAACCGAACACGGGCTGCTCGGATTGCGGCGGGTGCGGACTGCCCGCCGGCGATTTCCTGTTCTTCTTTTTCGCGAATCCCGGCGTCTTATTACATCCCTGAATGCTCTGCTGTTGCTTCTTTTCGTCGGGCATCAACGACGACGTCGGTTTCACCTTGAATTGGGATATCTTGGGACTGGGCGGCATGTGCGGCGACAACGGTTGACTAATGATGCTGGCGCTGTTCTGCGACGATGGGATGATAATGGAAGGCGGTTGCGTGAACTGAGCCGCTGCCATGTTGACTTGCGACTGCAGTTGGTTGCTGAAAGACTGCGGTTGTGGCGCCGGTTCTTGTTGCTGAACGCCGATTGCCGTTTGATCTAACGGTACCGAGGTACTTCGAGACGTCGACAGTGGGTTTGAATTTGATATTGGTGTTCCTGCAAATGCGAAATACATGTTACGGTAATAATTCAAACTAATATATTGATAAATTTAAAGTTACTTGGACAACTTATGTTAAGTACTAGTACCAATTTAACTGGCGCCCTCACCAGTAACTTTACTTTTATTTTTAAATTTTGTTTTTGTTTTTATTTGACAAATTTTTAATAATTTTTAAAAGAAATCAAATTAATTATTTTTTTACCTCACGAGGAAAGACCTAATGTTCTTCGTCATGTACGTTTTAATTGAAATTAATATCCTATGTCATTTTTGCACAAACAGAAATATTAAATACCCTTGCAGAATAGGCAAGAGGCTTCTATGACTCTATTTTCAAAAGTCACCGCGAGATGGCGCCATTTCCAATATGGCGGCCATCGTTGACGTGAATAAGTATAGATAACCGAAAAAAACAACGCCAAAATGCATAAGCTTATATCTCTATATTTCTTGGTTCGATTAAACAAGCGGCAAGAGACTCTTAAATGCCTAGACATGAAATTAGTAACCAAGATGGCTTTTCTGGACTAAAAACCTGAAATAAATATCGGTATATCTTACCTTGGACCTGAGGTTTGCTTCCTGAAAATAATCCAACTCCTACCGGATACTCATCTGGCGACGTGTACCGCAGTACGCCGGGCTTCACGACGTTGCTCTTGGAGTCTACTAAAATAGGCACAGTGGGTGAGCTGGCTACAGGCGGTAACTCCTGGATGCTCTGCGGCGTAGCCGGTGACGGAGGGGTGCTCCTCGGCGTACCCGGTTGGCTGTTAGGCACCTCCAATAAATTCGATCCTCTGAGAAGTAACGGCAGCTCCTCCTTCTTCTGCTGTTGCAGCTGCTGTTGCGGTGGCTGCTGCTGCGGAGGAGTCAGAGGACTACTCTGACTTTCCTGTGCTTTATCCGGTGATTTAACCGCCACCATACTGGGACTCGGAGCTTCGATGTTCGATTCGTCGTTCTCGGACATCGACGTTACGTCTTTGGTGTCTTCATCATCGGCGGAGCCGTGCGCGTGCGACTGGTGGTACTTCAAACCGTTGATGTGCTTGTACTTCTTGGAGCAGTTGGGTTCGGGGCATTCCAGGAGAACGGGCGAGGGTGGTGGGCTGGTGCAAGGGGCGGCGGGCGGTGCCGTCGCTACTACAGGTACTACTGGGGCCAGAGAGGCTTTCGGTTTCTTCACGGCGCCGCCCGGTTGGGGGGCGGCTGTTTCTTCTTCGCCGGCTCGACTCTTTCGTTTGTTGGTGGCGTCAGGTCGCGGTGGTACGAATGGTGTGGGCGAAGAGGGGGCTGTCGAGGGACCTGAGCCGTTAGCGGCCGCGCCGCCTCTTCGGCCTTTGACTCCCACGCCGCCCCCGGTGCCACCGCCGCCGTTGCGGAGCTTACTGTGAACTGACGATCGGGTTTCTGAAAGGGATAAACATTTTTACTTTCCTGTTTTTTCTGAAAATTCAATCCTTATGTAACCAAACCGGTTTTAAAAAGAAAATTCCTTTGATTCCGGGCAATAACTTACATTTTATAACATTCAGACTAAATTAGATTAAAATAAATATGCTGGACTTAAAAAGAGCATTTGAGACAATTGATAGGCAAATAATACTATCTAAATTGAAACAATATGGTATTGGGAGTGTAGATTATTTAAATGGTTTAGTAAATATTTAAATAATCCAAGCAGAATTCTTTTTGTTGACCAAACTTCCTATGACAAAAATAATCATATGAAGATTCCCCAAGGTTAAAGTATTGGGTACTCTACTTTTTATTTTATATATAAATGATATTAAACTATTCGTTTATTATCAATTTATTATTCTTCTTGCTGACAATACTTGTAGTGCTTGCGAATTTGAATAAAGCCATAGAGAAAATATTAGAGTAAAAATCCTCGCCCGTTGATGTATAATAATAAACCAAAATTATATAGGGCGATCAAAGCTGAAAATGTCCAATGGTTCAGTCATGTTGAAGATAAAAGAATAAAAGATATTTTATATAGGAAAGAAGTTGGAGAAAAAATCAAAAAAAAAAGTATAAAGCTGAATAAATATTGTTCTAAAATTTTAAATGGCACAAATAACAAATTAAATTATTAAATTGACAATTTAGCATGATATAATTCTTACCTCTGCCTTTAGGCGTCCTGTTATCCAAGTCGCTTGTAGGCGAATCACAGAATCTGAAAAAAATTAAATGAAATCGTTGACATCGTTAATTTAATTATTAAAACATTTTAAACACAACAAAAATATTGAAAACTTACCTAGGTGGAGCCCAATCGTGTCTTGTGCAATCTAGAAGAGTTCCAACGTAGGTTTTCCCCCTCCACGTCACGTTGACGACAAGTACACCTTAACAGAATTATTGGAAACATTAATAAATGTCAATTAAATTTAAATGATAAGAAGTTTAGGTTATTTAAATTTTAGATTAGGGAGTTTAAATTGATATTAGTGGTAATTATATAACGAATATGTTAAAATTTAACGGACGTTACAAATATAACGTATGTTAAATATGAAAAGCAATTCTGTAAATTCATTAAAAATTTTAACTTGTCATAATTAACATAATAGTTCATTTGTGCCGCAAAAATCTATTCTATAAGCAAAAATATGTAAAAAATTTAAAATAAATGTGTTAATTTTATGCGTTAAACCGAAGATATTAACAGGTACTAATTAGTAGGCTTTAAAACTTAACATATAAAAAATTATTACTTTTGAATGTTTAATTTAACTTAAAATGCAAGAAAATCATGAAAATTGATGGCCTACCAAATAGTTTATAAAATAAATTCGGCCGCTACTTTTTTCAATATTCTTGTGCAAAAACAGACAGATACAATAAATATGACAAGAGGAATGACATTTATTTGACAGACCATAAAACTTAACCAAACTTGTATGGCAAATTTGAACTATTTTTAACGTATGTTTATTTTTTCTACAAATTTAACGTATGCGTTAATTTTATTTTTACAGAATTACAATTTATGTTAAAATCGTAAAATTTAACACCCGTTAAAAATAAACGTATTGAATTACAGAATTACCACTATTAAATGATAAGAAGTTATGTTAGTTATAGGGCCATTCGCACCGCTTTTACTTAGCATCTAAGTGACACTTAAGAAGGCATAACCGTTTGCACCGTTATTAAAGTTCCACTTATCAAGGCGTTAAGAATCACTTTACTAAGCCCAAAAATTTTTCAGCTTAAACCATTACTTAACCTTAAAATGTTTAATTTTTATAATTTTTAGTGATGTTGACTGTCATTGTGTCATTGATTTATAACATTTGTAAAATTGCAATACACATAATGGAAATAATGGCTTTGAAAATGCTTGATTTCATTAATATAAGATACTACGAAGAATATAAAATAATATATACAAAAAACGGTTACTTTTACACTGCGATTTGAATTGGCCGAAGAAAATTCTTAATTGCCTTGATGAAATTAAAGCAAATTTATAGTATCCTTATAATAAATAATATGTAGGTTTCAAACTCAAATATTTTTACAGACAACACAATTATAACCATTTTTATAAAAAGTGTTTTTTTTGTGATTCTTTTTTGTAAAATTAGCATTGAATTAATACTAATTTTACTCTCATTATGGCTGTACTTCGTGCCCTATTTTATTACTTCAGTGGATTTTATTTGCTGGACTAGGTGTAGCACACGTGTATCGTGTAGCATATACTTTTGGCAAGTATGACAGTTCGAATGCAGTGTCGAGTGTGACATTAGAGCAACAAATAAAATCCACTATTAGGCATTCCAACGACCTGTCAAACAATAGGTGCCAGTGGGAAATTCTTGTATATCTAAGGGGGTAGCGACATAGTCTTGCAACTTGGACGCTATTTTTATTCGAAGTAGTACTCGCCAAGCCTGCCAATTTATGAAGAAATGTATAGGTGGGTTTTTTAAATATTATTTTTATTGTGTTTGACATAAAATATTTAAATGTAATCCATTATTCATGATTTTACGTAAAGTAGATAGAATACACCATATGTCGCCACCCTTAGATATACCAAACCTGCCCACTGGTAATTCATTTGTTTGGAATGCCTAATAGCCAGTGGGCAGGTTTGGTAGATCTGACGGTTGCGACATACGATGTATTCTATCTACAATACGTAAAATCATGAATAATGGATTACATTTAAATATTTTATATCGAACACTATAAAAATATTAAATAAAAAAACTGCTTGTACATTTTTTTAAAAGCTGGCAGGATTGGCGACTGATATTTCGAATAAAAATAGCGTCCAAGATGCAAGACTATGTCGCTACCCCCTTAGATAAACGAGACCTTCCCACTGCCAGGTATTGTTTGACAGGTCGTTGGAATGCCTAATTAGGTGGTTTATAACAGATTTTTCATTTTAAATAAAATTGAAGAGAATTTTAAAAGATATTAATGAAGATTAGTAATTTAGTTAGACAGTTGGTTACTTGAAATATTTCAATCAATCAAATTTGAATAATAATAAATTTATATAAGTTTGAGTTAATTTAATATTTAATCAATATAATCTCAATTAAGACTTTAAAATAAATTAAAAATAAATTTTTTAATAATAATTACTGATTTTTTACATGAAATTTGAAATAATATTATTTGAAAGTTAATTAACTATTTTTTTTTAATAAACAAACGAAATTTTGTAAAAAAAATATTGGTCTCACCCCCTTCAGTTTCGTGCCAAACGATACCCTCAAGGGTAACGCTCGTACCGGGTTCACAGGGACCCAGACAATCGGGTTCGGTAATGGTACCCACGCTGGTACCCACACAAACGTCTGCTACATCCTGAAAAAAAAAAAAATATAAGATTAATTAAAAGTTAAAAATTAATCAAAACAGAAATATACGAAATTTTATAACAGGAATACTCAAAATTTATTTATTTATTGGGATACAGACAAAGTGTATATTACAGAAATAAACTTAGTAAATCTTAATTAATGAAAAAAGGTGTTCGACAAGGATCAGCTAATCCAAACGAGAACTAGAATAAACAAGTCCCGGACAATAGGCATTTCATTCTATAATGACCTTCCGCCCCACATTCGTAATCTACCAGGAAAAAAGTTTAAACATCAAATTAAATAGATATTATTACTGGACATGTGTCTACATAACACTAACGATTATTTTGTAAGAGTGAAATATGTCACTTAATATTTTTAATATTGTATTTTTTTTATATTTTTTATTTAGTATTACCAACCATGATCTTTTAAAATCCTATTTTATTTTAAATTTTATACGAGTATGCTGTATGTTAATGTATGTAAAATGTAATGTATTTTAACATTTATGTGTACTGACGACTATGTAAACATGTTTATTTATGTATTAGGTAGGTATTTAATAGAAACATTTTCGGCGTTTTTATATAATGAAAAATACCTAACTGTATTAACATTTCAAGTATCCTTTTCCAAGCTCTTTAAATTTAAAACAAATTTACCCACCTTTATTTTTACGACAATATTTATATTGGCATAACATTCTTATTTATTGGTATTTAAGGTACCTACGCATTAACCAGATTTGGTTAACAAATATTTGTCCGCTTATCATGATGTGTTTAAAGACATAAGTATTATGGTTTTTAAAAACCCACCATCAATTATTAAGAATCATTTAATATGATTGATAGCTGATTTAATTTACAATAGGAATTACATTTTAAATTGTAATAATATCACGTTTCATTACACTTTGATGCGAAAAATAATTAATAATAATGTTGTTTATTCACATAAAACAAATACAATGTATAAAAAATGTCATTTAAAGATAAGCAAATAAACATGAACTACACAGAAGCTGTTATGGACAGCTTGTACGTGGTAGGTATTACTAAAAAAATTTAATCAAAAATTAATTCTATAATATAACCTAATAAATAATGGATCAGTTTCTTTGTATCTTAGACAAAATGTTAAGAAACTTGTTAATAATAAAATTAAATTATTTATATAATGTAATACTTGGAAATGGTCATAATTGGGAAAGAGATCATAATCGGTAATTAGTTACACTCGAGAGAAAGGTCGTAATCGAGATAGAGGACATAATCGAGAAATAGGTCGAAATAGGTCGTAATCAGAAGAACAAGTCCTAGTGTTGGGTGAGTAAATTAGAAATTTTAAGAAATTAATCGGGAAATCAGTGTAGTTATTAAAAGTATGGGTAATGAATATAATAGTTTACGATAGGTAATTATTTATAACATTACTAAATTCTTCTCGGTCTTCTTGAAGAATCCAATTTCTTAGATGTTTTTTGAATACATTATAAGATGGTAAAGTTCGTATCTCTTCTGGGACTAAAATATACATTCTTGGTGCAAGATAATTACATGTACGTTGTCCTATAGATTTTTCACTTCGAGGAAAATAAACAGATTCTACTCGTCGTGTATTATACTGATGTTCATGTGATGTCAAAAAAATTTTTTTTGTTTTTATAAATTGAAGAATTTAAAAAAATATAATTGTCTTAAATCAAAAACTTTTAATTCCTTGTACAAGGAGTTACTAGAATATTGAATATTTTTATTATAGATAACTAGCTTTTGCCCGCGGCTTTGCACGCGTGGTGTCGTGTTTATAATTTAATAAAATAAATGATTATTAATTTTTATCATTTTTTATTAATTTTTATATATTTCTATTAATTTTTATTAATTTTTATATATTTTTATTAATTTTTGTTAATTTCTGTTAATTTTTATTAATTTCTATTAATATTTATTAATTTTTGTTAATTTCTATTAATATTTATTAATTTTTAATAATTTTTAATTTTTATTAATTCTTTAATAAAATCGATTAGTTTTTAAATTTTTTTTTATTTATTTTTATTTAGTTTTATTTAGTTTTATTAATTTTCACCCATGTTTTCCCCCCTTAAAATGTGAAAATCCAAAAAACCATGAAACACATCATTTTTGATTTTTAGTAGCTGTAATTCAAATTTTTATATTTCAAACTTTAAATAACAAAAAATATATACATACTAATAAACAAATTTTCACCCCCCCCCCATTTTCCCCGTTAAAATGTTGAAATGCAAAAACCCTGAAACACTTCGTTATTTATTTATAATGAGAACCTACAATTCCAATTTTCAAGTTTCTACCTTTTAAAAAATCGATATTTCCAAATAAACTTTCACCCCCCCCCGTTTCCCCCCCTTGAAATGTGAAAATCCAAAAACCCTAAAACACGTCATTAATAATTTGTACTCATTAGCTGCAATTCCAATTTTCATGTTTCTAACTTCATAGAGAACAAAAAAATCGATAGTCTCATACAAACTTTAACCCCCCATTTCCCCCCCTTAAAATGGGAAAATCCAAAAACCCTGAAACACATCATTATTTATTTTTGCTTAATAACTGTAATTTAAATTTTCATGTTTCTAACTTTAAAGAACAAAGAGTTTCATTAAAAGCTCCCTCCCCCATGTCCCCCCTTTAAAGTTAAAATTTTTAAAAATCCTTTTTTAGCGGATGCTTAAGTTATAAAATAAACCTATGTTCCAAATTTCAGCTTTCTAGGCTAAATAGTTTTGGCTATACGCTGATAAGTCAGTCAGTCAGTCAGTCAGGACAAACAATTTTATATATATAGATTGTTTCCAAATGAACGATAATATTTTTCTTGTTTTACCTAGTTTTTGTTTCATGTCTCTATCTTCTTCCATTTAGAAGTTAAGAGGGGGGACACAATTTACGTCCTCACTGTTTATAATACGTTCGTTTTACCCTTTTTTTTTTGACAGTTTTTCGAAAGAAAAAAAAACTTGAAAATTGCTGTCTTTCTAAGTTATCTTAAAAAGTAACCTCAGAAAAACAGAATGGAATAAATTTAAGAAATGGTTGAATAAATATTTATTTTTAATAATTTTAAAAATTTAATTTTTAGGCGATGCATTTTCATTTTTATCATATTTTTAAAATAGTAAAAACATAACTTTGCCTGCATTACTGACCAGGTAAGAAAGCGATTCAAACAATAAAATGCTATTTATATACAGTGAATAAACTATAAAATTTCCCATGGTGTTTGTTATAAAGGGTGTGTCATTTTACCTTGAGTGTAAAGTAGTACTTTAATTAAAAAAATAACGTAAAAATCGTGAATTATGCAAAGCAATTATAGTTAATATTCGCAAAAGTTGTGATCAAACTTTTATATATCTGACTAAACATTTATCTATGAAATACTTACAATCTTCTTTTTCGAGAAAACTTTTCCGTCGAAACCATGCCGTTTTTTAAACTTTTCCAACCACCCGGGGCTAGCGGAAAAATCTTTGTGGCCCAATTTTCGAGCCACATCCAAAGCTTTCACTCTAATTTTCTTCCCTAACACTTTAGCACCTTTCATATTTAACAACCACCGCAAAACCGCTTTATCGACGTCATCGTATAGGCACACCTTTACTTTTTTACCCACTTGTCCTCTATCGAATGCTTTCAAAATGGTATCGCGATTTTTTAAGATAGTCGATAGAGTGCTGGCTGGTATGTTGAATTTTTCCGCGACGTCCTTTTTTCTTACACCCAGATCGATTTCGTTTAAAAGGTTCACTTTTTCCGTTATATTCAAATACTTTCTACGAGCAACAGACATGTTTACGCTAAAATCAAATTTTACAAACTGACTGATGCTGATGAATGTTTATCGGTAGAAAATTTAGATTTTATTTACCCTTTAGCAGGTAATATGTAATTAAGATTGTTTATTGTCAATTACATTCAATTCCCGGATATTGTGTCTAGGGTTGTGAGATTTTAAGTACTAAACAAGGATTAGGAATATTCTTAAACATTAGGAGGATAATTATTCGATGTACATGGCAAAATTGCTTTTTAAATATCTAGAGAGTTTATAACTTGTTAAGTATAGATATCCAAAACACTAAAATTAACTGGTTTCGATATATAGAATTGTTTTATTCACTGATCATACAGTCAAAAATATATTTAATAAAATAATAGCGATATACGTTATTATCAGATAAATACTGGTATGTGTGAGATAAAAAAAATTCTTTTAAGTTGATTAAACAAGTAAAAACCTTTTCTGGTAAATAAAATGTTCTTGGCAGATTTATTAGAAAGATTTTATTCTATGGGGCCTTTAAACTATTTTTATTTGTTCTTTATAACAGGAAAATAGTGATATATTTTTTTATAGGTACTTGACATCTGTGAGTATAATGACGTAATTGCTGTTTTTTTTTTAATAATGTGGGTTATGCGTTTTTTTTTATTTACATGCCTATGTGAAACAATACTGATGAAAAGACTGAATGAAATCCAACATTGAAGAAAGGAAACTACTTCCAGATTATCAGTTCGGCTTTAGTAGAAAAAACCATTAATTTATAGATCAAGTTCATATGAAGGATAAGGAAAAAAAAACCAACGATGTCCATTTTATAGAAATTTTTAAGTAATCAACTTTTTATGTTGGTAATACCGAGTTCCAAACCCATGCTAAATTGTAAGCTAATAAAACAAACGAGGTTCGAATAATAAGGCATTTAAAAATAATCATAAAGGTACCATTTCGGTAGCCGCGTCAGGAGACAAGAGACCACTGAGACGACCCCAAGGTCGAGTAGGACGACAGATGCATAAATGTTACGCTCCGTACATTACGTAAGCTTGGAGACGGGTCGCGAGACACTTACATTATAACCATTCGAGGGAACGATCAGCGTTGCCAGACCTACTGTTTTTACGTAGATCCACCGTTTTTGTCTCTAGCAAATTTTGTTCTTAA